AAAATCCCCAAAAAAACTCAAAAAAACCCCAAAAATCCCAAAAAAATCCCCCCAAAATATCCCAAAAAAATCCCCAAAAAACCCCCAAAAATTCCCAAAAAATCCCCAAAAAATGGGGAAAAAAAATCCAAAAAAATCCCAAAAAACCCTCAAAAATACCTCAAAAAAGCTCCCAAAAAATCCCCCAAAAAAACCCCAAAAATTCGCAAAAAAATCCCAAAAAATAAAAACAATCCCCCCAAAATTCCCAAAAAATCCCCCAAAAAAATCCCCAAAAAATATCAAAAAATCAAAAAAAAATTCCGAAAAAAAACCAAAAAAAAAACCCAAAAAAAGGAAAAAATCCCCTAAAAAATCTAAAAAAATTCCCCAAAAAACCTCAAAAAAATCCCCAAATAAAGCCCGAAAAAATTAAAATAAAAAATCCTAAAAAATAAAAAAAAACCCAAAAAAACCCCAAAAAAATCCCGAAAACATCCCCAAAAAATCCTAAAAAAATCCAAAAAAATCACCAAAAAATCCCCAAAAAAATACAAAAAAAAATCCCGAAAAAATCCTAAAAAAATCCAAAAAAAATCCAAAAAAAATCCCAAAAAAATCCCGAAAAAAACCCAAAAAAAATTAAAAAAAAAATCCCGAAAAAAATAAAAAAAAATCCCCAAAAAATCCTAAAAAAATACCAAAAAAATCACGAAAAAAATCCAAAAAAATCCCAAAAAAATCCTAAAAAATCCCAAAAAAATCACGAAAAAAATCCAAAAAAAATCCAAAAAAATCCCAAAAACATCCCGAAAAAAATCCAAAAAAATCCCAAAAAAATCCCAAAAAAATCCAAAAAAAATCCTAAAAAAATCCCAGAAAATCCCCAAAAAACTCCCCAAAAATCAGCAAAAAATCCCCAAAAAATCACGAAAAAAATCAAAAAAAATCAAAAAAAATCCCAAAAAAATCCCAAAAAAATCCCAAAAAAATCCCAAAAAAATCCAAAAAAAATCAAAAAAAATCCCCAAAAAAATCCAAAAAAAATCCAAAAAAAATCCTAAAAAAATCCCAAAAAAATCCAAAAAAAATCCCAAAAAATCCCAAAAAAAATCCCAAAAAAATCCCAAAAAAATCCCCAAAAAATCCCAAAAAAATCCCCAAAAAATCCCTAAAAAATCCCAAAAAAATCCCAAAAAAATCACAAAAAATCCCCAAAAAAATCCCAAAAAGTCACCAAAAAAATCCCCAAAAATCAGCAAAAAATCCCAAAAAAGTCACGAAAAAAATCCAAAAAAAATCCAAAAAATCCCCAAAAAACTCCCCAAAAATCAGCAAAAAATCCCCAAAAAATCACGAAAAAAATCAAAAAAAAATCCAAAAAAATCCCAAAAAAACCCCAAAAAATCAGCAAAAAATCCAAAAAAAATCCCGAAAAAAAACCCCAAAAAAATCCAAAAAAAATCCAAAAAAATCCAAAAAAAAATCCCAAAAAAATACAAAAAAATCCCCAAAAAAATCCCAAAAAATCCCAAAAAAATCCCAAAAAAATCCCAAAAAAATCCCAAAAAAATCCCAAAAATATCCAAAAAAAATCCAAAAAAAATCCCCAAAAAATCCCCCAAAAAACCCCCCAAAAATCAGCAAAAAATCCCAAAAAAATCCAAAAAAGTCACGAAAAAAATCCAAAAAAAATCCAAAAAAAATCCAAAAATCCCC